CGACGACGACGACGGGGCGGCGGACGGCGCCGGAGGGGGCGAGAACTTCGTGCCGCGCACGCTGGAGGAAGCTCTCGTGCCGCGGGTGGGCACGGTGTTCGACTCCGTCGACGAGGCGTTTTCGCTCTACAAGGCATACGCCTTCCGCATGGGATTCCACGCCGTGCGCCGCACCTGCCACAACTACGAGGGGATTCGCTACCGCTCCACCTTCAGCTGCACTCAAGCTGGCAAGTCCCGGGAAGGGGCCGCCACCCCGTCGGAAGATTCAGGCGCCCGCTACCCACTCCGCAACAAGCGTGGGGCAGCCACCCCGGAGAAGCGGGCTCGGCGTACCACCGCCGAGAAGACTGGATGCAAGGCGATGCTGATCATCCGTGACAAGCGGGTGAACGATAGGTGGAAGGTGGAGTTCGTCGACTTGGAGCATAACCACCCTTGCACACCGGATATGGTGAGGTTTTTAAAAGCCTACAGGGAGATGCCAGAGTCAGCCAAGAAGAAGGCCAAGATTACTGTGGAGATGGATGAGATGGTGGAGAAGTCATTGAGTGAGATTGCTGAGACCAGGAAGTTTCCGACTCGCCCCAAGCGGAGCCTCAGTGGTGGAGCTGCTGCTGGTGGGTTGAGGTTTAATAGAACCGACAGTTTTGTGCAGCGCTTCGGGGACGAAGACCTCATTGCAGTCAAGAAGTTCATCGAAATGATGCAGGAAAAGAAACCAAACTTCATTCATAGCTGGGATCTTGATCAGGAAAGTCGCATGAAGAATTTTTTCTGGACAGATTTGAGGTCTCAGGCCCAGTACCGCTACTTTGGTGATGTCATTTCACTTGATGTAATGTACTTGCAGCACTCTCGTGCTAGCCTCCCTTTGGCCACACTCCTTGGGGTGAATAACCATGGCCACCTTGTGCTACTTGGTTGTGGTCTGCTCTCCAAAGACAGTAAAGAGAACTATGTCTGGTTGTTGAAGAGGTGGCTGAGCTGTATGAATGGCAAGCCACCAGAGGCGATTACAACTAGTTATTCACATGTCGTGGCAGAGGCTGTGTCTGAGGTCTTGCCAGATGCAAGGCACCGCTTCTGCTTTTGGCATATCTTGAAGAAGCTCCAAGAAAACGTGGGACGTACACATGAGAAAGAGGCAATTTCTTTGAGATTCAAGGAGGTTGTTTATGACACAGTCACTCTTACTGACTTTGAAAAGGAGTGGGAGGCCATGGTTGAGCACTACAAGCTGAAAGATAATGAATGGTTCTCTGCACTATACAGCTGCCGGAAGCAGTGGGCTCCTGGTTATGTCAATCATTCGTTTTGGGCTGGCACATCTGCTATCAGGAAGGTTGAAAAACCAGATCCATACTTTGATGGTGTTGTGACAAGTAAAACCACATTACCAGTTTTCCTTGAGCAATATGAGACTACCCTCAGAGGGAAGCTGGAAAGGGAAGCATACGATGATTTGCGCTCCTATTATTCTAGGCTCACTTTGCTGTCAGGATTACCATTTGAGGAGCAACTTCTGGAGCTGTATACAGTACCCATGTTTCAGGCATTCCAAGATGAGATCAAGCAATTAATGCATGTTATTTGTAAAGAGGTAGACAGGAGCGGGAATTCAATTACCTACATGGTCAGCGAGTTAATACAGGGCAAGAAGGTTGACTATACGGTTGTCTACAACAATTCTGACAAGGATGTTTGGTGCATTTGTCGCTCTTTTCCATCACGGGGCATTCTTTGCAGCCATGCTCTGTCTGTTCTGAAGCAAGAGAATGTGTTGATGCTGCCATCAAAGTACATCCTCAGCCGCTGGAGGAAGGACTTCAGAATTATTCACGCGTCTGCAAGCTCGAACTCTGTGGCATTGCAGAGAGATTCGAGCATTTTTGATGATCTGTACGTGCGTGGCCATGAATATTTAGAAGATGTTATCGATATTGGGGCTAGAGAACCTGAGTTGAAGGAGTTTGTGCTGTCTGCCATGAAAGAAGCGAAGGGCAAACTAGTAAGGCCTGGCCAGACCCAGCAAGGTGATCAGCGGGTTGATGTAAATATGGCAGTAACTGGTCAGGTATCCGCTGATAGAAGAGTTGATGTGAACATGGCATCAAACACCACATCCATCATTCACAGGGACAGAAGGGTTGAGGCAAACATGCCATTAAATACAAGAGCCCTGGTTCATGAGGATAACATGGCATCCAACACGCCATCCCTGATCCATGGGGACAGAAGAGCCGATATGGAAATGCAAACACCCCACCTTATCCACAGAGAGGGAAGAGTTGACATGAACATGACAGCCCCTCACTTGATGCAGAGGGAGAGAAGAGTAGACGTGAATATGACGTCCCCTCACCTGATCCATGGGGACAGAAGAGTCGATATGAACCTGGGGTCGCCACACTTCATACACAGCGACAGAAGAGTTGATATGAACCTGACATCCCCTCATCTGATACATGGGGACAGGAGAGTTGATATGAACATGGCGTCACCACACCTGATACATGGAGACAGAAGAGTTGATATGAACATGACGTCCCCTCACATGATACACGGTGAGACGAGAGTGGATATGAACATGGTATCCACTTCTCAGGATGATGCGATGCACACTTTTGATTTGGTGAACGTCAACCTGGAGAGTTCTTTGCCAATGGCTGCAACAGATTTCATGCAAATGCATCCACACCCACCAGTTTACCATCCCAAACAACTCCTCAATATGAGAGATCAGGTGATGGACTCAAACAAGAGATCCAATGTGGAAACCAATACTTATTTCATCGGAGGTGGAATGCATGTGGGGTAGTTTAACTGTCTACTGCTGTAACATTTGTTTAGAAAGGGAGACGACCTTCTTGTATGTTGATATGTATGTTCTTAGTTCAGGCAGTACCACTAATCAACTAGTTTGTACTAATTGCAGATCAAACATTGATTGTTGGCAGCTCTCCTGTAACATTTTTTCCCTGTCTGGCAGTTGCAGTTAGCTACTTGAATGGCATCGTTCTCTGCATATTGTTGATTGTTGATAGATAGTAACAATCCTTTCCATCTGGTAATTGCAAGTGCGATGCCTCTAGTTTCGCAGCTTAGATGATGTTCTGGTTTGAGCTGTCGATAGCACTGTACTGCCTTGTGCTTTCCATTTTTTTGTGCTGGCAGCTTATCCAGACATAAAATTTAAGATTAATCTCTAATATAGGACGTTCTAGATGTCAAGTGTCTAAAACATCCTATCTTAGTTTACAGCGGGAGTAATTATTATGATTACAACTTCGTGGCTTACTCGCAAGCTATGTTGCAGTTCAACTGCTTTGGCTCTTTTTTTGGCTGTAGTGCATCTGCTGGGAAGCAATTGGTTGGATATCATGGAAATATTTCGCTCTGTTGTTTGAGAAGGTGTCAGCCTGTTATATTTCAGGGTTAAGGTAGAGAATCTTTTATAGATAGAAGAAGCTTCACGTCCTCACGTCCAGTGCACAGCATTGCTTCAAGCTGGTTCCCTGTTCTACACGAGCACTTAGTTAATACTCCTATTTGCCTTCTGCTGCGATGCAGCACCTGATGCATATTGGCATGCTAACTTTGATCTTCGCATTTCATAGGAAATCTATGTGAGCCAAGCTTGTGGTATTCACTTTGTTTGATTCGAACTGCCTATAATTGCTTGGAAACGTCTCAAAATGGTGTTTAAGGAGGCATTTTGGAGAGTTCATCTTAAAATCATCTATAGCCTGGATGCAGCTTTGGAGACGTTTTTCAGATAAGCCTCAAATTGGTAGAGATTCTCCTAATTGATTGAGGGATTTCTCAAAAGTTGCCTCCAAATCGATGGATGTATTGAGGCGAACCTCACCGCCTTCGGCATGCAGGGTATGTTCAAACTTCATTCTTCTATGTTCTGTTTTTTTTTTTGAAGAAGAAGAAAGGCAAAAGCTTTGCCTTTTCATTGATTAAGCAGGGGGAAAACAGGGAGAGTCCCAGTCGTTACATCATACTCCCTCCGTTTCTAAATATTTGTATTTTTAAAGATTTCAAATGGACTACCACATACGGTTGTATATAGACATATTTTAGAGTGTAGATTCACTCATTTTGCTCCGTATGTAGTCATTTGTTGAAATCTCTAGAAAGACAAATATTTAGAAAGACAAATATTTAGAAACGGAGGGAGTAGAAGGGAGAGAAATCTCCATGTCTGAAATCGCCCAGATTGGCCAAAAGCCAAACAAGGCCAACATCAAAGCATCCGGACCTGAACCTGAACAAGAATATCATTGCCATTCGTTCTGTTCTACATCATGAAGATTGGAGTCATCAGACCTACAGAGTCGTTTTTAAGGGTTGATGAAGCAAAGTGCTGCAAGAAGAAACCATATGCCGCAACTTTATAACATCATCCTAATACATATCAACATTAGAAGTCTTTTGGATTTTCAGAACTTCAGCAAGGTGCACTCTTCAGCTGTTTCAATCTAAAGTGTTTTCAGAATAACTGGACAAAATTAGAGTATCGCAAATTTTTCGACACAGATTAGATAGTACTCAGATTAGATAGTACTCCCTCCGTCCGGAATGAGTTGACGCTCAAACGGATGCAACATCCGTTTGAACGTTAATTAATTAATTCCGGACGGAGGAAGTAATATCTAGGGTTTCAGGTGTAGATGTTAACCTCTCGTCTTGAGAGATTTACATTCAACAGACAATGCGTGCTTTTTCATTGGACTTATCTCTATTGCGAAAGAATACATTGTAGGAATGTGTAGAATTGTTCTACTAACAAGTAGCACAACCCATTCTAAGTAGACAATTTACTAGCTTCCATGGCTCTAATAGATTTTGGAATATTTTATTCCATCCGAATAGCATTTCTGAAACAATCATTGTTTCTTGCCTGTTTGTCTACAAAGAGGAGGAATCTGGTTCACCCCCTCAATCTGCTTTTACTTCCTACTAATAACATTTATCAAACATGTCATGACTCATGAGCATGCAGCTTCGACCACAAGGCTTTTTGTGACTCCTCTGCATGGATCTCCGAAGTTCTTTGCTGACACGGGCAAACTGCAACTGCTCACCCCGACGCATGCCTGGAGAGTTCCCCGCAGCATTGTCAGTATCATGAAGATAAACTCTACAAAAAGACGTAGCAAGTGTGGAAGTGGAACAGATTGGAGTTACCTCCTGAGCGACTGCCAGAGCCTGAGAGCTGCTGCATTCGCCATGGCTGTAGCTCCCACAGGTGCCACTCGGTGTCCCGAAGCTTGCAAACTTGATACTGCTGATGACCTGACCTTCTTTGGGGCATTCCAGACGAAGTGCTGGCCCGGACCTCTGTAATTTCTGCTGGGGGGAGATCCAGCTATCGATTTGGTCAGGATGATCCTCAGACACGTGTGCACATACACTTTCTGTCTGTTTCGTCGTGAAGGATATCTTGCTTGGGTCACCACCAAACTGCTCGAAAAGGACTATATCATTGCTGCCTGGTTGGAGAAACGAACGGGGCACATGATACCTGTTTAACAAGGTAAGAAATTGAATTAGTCATCCCATTGTAGCAGTTCATATGTTTCTTGTACGAAGAGGAAAGCCTATACTGTTGTGGTGGTCATAAATTCAATGCTGAAACCATCTGGCCTTCATTTGTATGCAAGTATCAACGAGTGACCAATATAGCATTACTTTGGTCCCAACGTAAAAGTTAAACGCCATGAACATCCAAATAATACATTTAATTGAAAGGGTGCTTAAACCATTTTAGTATGAGCCTATGGCAACATATAAAACATTAGAATGGGCTCTGCCTGTAGGTAGCGAAAGATGGTGTGAATTTTGGTGGAGAGGATTCTTACAAAATCTGTGACGGCTGCCCACATTTCTTCAGGCATTTCTTTGCGCTGTAAGTTCCTCTGTAGTTGCATGAATTAACACAGCCACTTTGCGGAGAGATATTTGTTGGCCAGTAGCGACCAATGCTCTGCCCGTTCACCCACGCCTCACCTTTCCCCATTCCTGTGAAGTCTATGGCAACAGGATCATCGCCTGCAGGAGCTGTAAATTTGCTCTGCATTTCGGGCATTGCAGTTAGAGCATTGATTCCCAAGGTAATAAACTCAAGTAAAATAGGCCAATCACATAAATAGAATGTTCATCTGCAGACAACTGAGCTCATAATGGATCTACAGTACTACACATATTCAAATGCTACCAAGCTACCACAGTTTCATGGTCGGAGGATCATACTGACCTTGTACCAGGTCAAAGGGTAATTGGTTGGGTAAGAGTTATCTGATACCCATTCTGGAGAGGCCTCTGAAGGATTATACAGGTGCAAGTCTTCTCCTCTGAGTCCAATCTGGAGTCACCAAATATTTTGATAAGGAAAAAAGCAACAATAGTGTTACTATACGCTATGGTTTACCTGTACTAGTTAAGGGATTCGAAAACAACATTTGCCAATAATTGCTCAACCCAGATTACTGGTTGTACACACCTGGTATGTCCAATCTGCAGAAGATAGATCGAGCATACCCTTCGGCCCAGTCAGCTTTACTGGACCGGTAATTCCAGCACCAACTAGGTCAAAGAATGCACCATAATTCTGAAGCCAAAGTACAATGTTAGTAACTTGGTATTAGATGTGGTTTTACATCTTTGAATACCTGTTTTAAAATGTCAAAGTACAGTGGACAGCAGAATGGAGTAGAGTGGATACTGACTCACCGTCAGACCAACTGTTGCACTCAGAAGATCTATTTTATTCTTTCCAGGTACAAGTGTAACTGGTGTTGTCAATGAGATCAGGGAGCTACTAGCATTGCCCTTACTGCTACCTGGTAAGATTTCAATACTTACACATTTCAGTACACAAATGCACCTTACAAATGAAATAGGAATGTTGGTAATTAACATGACAGTCCAAATGTCATCTGAATGAGTTTGCATTTTCTTCTCACACATTACCTGCAAACTTGCCATTGATGAAGACCTGAAGAACATGCCCAAGTGAGTTAACAAGCAGATTGGACTGACTGCCATTCAGGTACGGTTCGCCGCCTTTAACGACGACACTGCACACAGTAGAAATCAGTTGGTAAAACCTGGCACTGCCAGTTTATCGGTCACCATGTGCACAAGTACAGCTAAGAGTGCAATCCTGTACCTTGTTGAGTACCACAGGAAATCACTGGCGTCCGCGGTGGTGTTTATCTGCTCCATCAGCCCAGGCTTTGTCATGGCGTTCTCCTTTGTGATACCGACAGGTTCTACGGCGTAGCTCCAGGTAGAAGAAGCGAGTTCTGTTTCGACGGACGAGCCGTAAGATGCTTGAGTCCTGAACCCCAGGTTTCTCATCTGTGTAGATGCTACCTGAGAGTTGATCTGCGAAGAGTAGTAACCGTAATCAGATCCAAGGTCAAGATTGGTTCCAGAAACACCGCTTCTTTATCTTGATTCTTGAGCAAGGCAATGCACATACCTGGGCAGTGTTCAGCACCACATTCTTGCAGTCAGGAAGGACGCTGACAGACCACGCGGGGAGTTTATACGCCTTGCCGTTGAAGGTGACAGTCTTATCAGACTGCTCGTCCATATTCGCGAGGAATGCCGCGCACAGTGAACCGGCCCTGTATACGTGCGCCTGAAGCCAGAAGAAAAATGCAGATACCATCATCATCAGTAAGCACAATAGAGCAGACCATAAATAAAGGTATCATTCCTGAACAAGATTTGCTCCGCGATGCTGATTGACCTGTCTTTCTTTTCTCGTTATAAAACGAAAGTTGCTTTGATTTGTCTCTCTTTTTTCGTTAAACAAAAGTTGCTTTTGGAAAAGAAAAGCAGATAATCGTACCTCAGCATTTTGACCCAGGGACATGTATGATGGATTAGTTGCTATGAGCGCAGGCTCGCACATCTTAATCGCCTTGTGGACATCCCTCAAGTGGCCCCACTTTGGCTGCCTCACTAGCCCTGAATCACACATTGCGAGAAGGGCAAATACATTGTTCAGGAACTGAGAGATAAAAAGAGAGCGGAGACATGGGCAGCTCAAGAAGGAAAGAAGACGGGCACTCACCGTACTCGTCGATGGGGGCGTCGTAGTCGTAGCTCGTGGAGATGAACGGCCCTCCCGAGCTGCGGCCGAAGTTGGTCCCTCCGTGGTACTGCCGACAGAGCCCGAGTTAGCTACAGGGAGCATATATAGCAGAGCAGAGGAGCATCCATCCATTTTGGCTGGCTGCATCAGCTAGCAGCGTAGTACGTACCATGTAGTAGTTCTGCAGGGTGCCGCCGCGCTGGTAGAAGCGCGCGACGGCGAAGGCGAGGTCTTCGGTGGGGCGGTACGGCACGGCGCCGCCGAAGGAGAGGAACCAGCCGCTCCAGTTCTCCGTCCACAGCTTGGGGCTGCTGGGCAGGCTTGGCGTGAACTGGTCGCAGTAGAACCCGTTGCACGTGTTGATCTGCATGTTTTTTTCCTCTCGAGTTCAGTCACGTTGCCGTCGCCAACAACGACCCAGGCAGGGCCGACGATGAGCTTACCAGGGGTGCCGGCGCGTCGGCCTGCTGGCACATGACCCAGGGCACGCCGGTGTCGAGCGCGACGGCCATCCCGGCGGCCCACCGCATGTACGACTTCCCGGCATCGCCGTACTGCCAGTCGATGTTGCCGTACTCGTTCTCGATCTGCGACAGGATGATGGGCCCGCCCTGCGACGCGTACAGCCCCGCGCCCTTCATCGTCGCCACCACCTTCTCCGTGAACCGCTGCATCTCCGTCTGCACGCACAGAAATCATTTCACTCATCGATCGATCCATCAAGCTGCATTGCATTTGCGCAATGCTCTCTTATTTTTATGCCGCCGCGTACCTTGAAAGGCTCGTTGTCGGTGCGGAACTTGATCCCCGGGATGAAGTGCAGCCATAGCGGGAAGCCTCTGCACGCAATCAACAGCACACAGTTAAGCACGATCGCTTCTCCTGCTGAAACGGGGATCGGACAGGGGGAAATGCTGCAGAGTGAGAGGGGTATCAGACCCGTAGTTCCACTCGGCGCAGACGTAGGGGCCGATCCTGAGGTGCACGTAGAGCCCGGCGTCGGCGGCGGCCTTGACGAACCTCACCAGGTCATTCCTGCCCTCGAAGTCGTACTGTCACGTTGCAGCTCGTAACCGTCAGAGTTTTTGTGACTTGATTTTGCAACACTAACAGACACCGACACAATGTGAACTTCCAAGACAAATATATGTGTTTTTAGGCAATATATGTCACTAGTTCGAAGCTCATGATAGGTAGTGTACGATCGATAAGTGATTAAAGAGCTTGGCAGTGAGTGGGAAGAATAAAGCGTAGGGTGCTGGGGAAGCAAAGCACCGCCCTTTCACACATGACGACCAGCTGGAAGAGATGATTTGAGAAAAGCAAAAACGAAAGTAGTATGACACTAGAGAAAATAGCATAGCAGCAAAGAGAGAGGGAGGTTGATGGCCTGGCCGGTATGGAGTGGAGAACGTGCCTGTCCCCGGACGGGCTCATGGACGTCCCAGAAGACGTACGTCTCGACCATGTCCAGCCCGCCGTCCTTGGCCTTCTGCATCAGCCCCGGCCACATCTGCAATCAACCACGGCAACGCTAGCTAGCGTCAGCTCTCCTCGGAGAACAGAGTAAGAAAGAAAGCAAGCAGAGCAGAGCCGGGAGAGCGGGACGTACGTCGGGGGTGCTCCGCGGGTAGTGGATGGAGCCGGAGACGAGCACGCGGCGCACGCCGTCGATGACCAACGCACGGTGGTCGTACGTCACGTTGGTCGCCGCCGACGTCCCCGCCAGGCAGAGCAGCGCGAGGAGCAGGGCCACCGCCGCGCTCGGCAGCCTGCCGACGGCCGCCATTGCTTGCGGCTCTCCCGAGAAGAAACAAGGACAACAACTGCACCTTGTTTGCGGGATGATGGCGTTCGGTGTACTAGCCGAGCTAGCGCGGTGGTAGTGGAGCGAGGGCGGCGAGCAGCAGCAGGTAGAGGAGGAGATGGAGTTGCTGGGTGGGGGGCGGTGAGAGAAAAGAAAAAAGAGAGGAGAGAAGCTGCTAGCTCGGTGCCTCGGTGTGTGGCTTGGCTTCCCGGGCGAAATGGGATTTAACGGAGCTGCAGAGCACACCCAAACACCAGTTTAATATACACCCCAGAGCAGGGCGCGCACAAACGAAATGCACCTCGCTTTCTCGCTTTGTTTGTTTCTTGTGGATGCGGTGGTGGTGGTGCTCGATTAAAAAGGCTTTGCGCGCTCGCGGCAGGCAATGGGGCAGGTGTGGTCGTGGCTGTGGCTGTGGTCTCTCTCGTGGATCTTCCTCTTGACTTGCCCCGGCGTAAGGTTTGCTGCTACTTGCAAGCAACGGCAACAATGGCGGCGACCTGTGGTGTGATCGCGATGAAAACGAGATTGAACTGGATCGGATCGGATCGACGGGAGGAGGAAAGAATTTACTCCCGCTGCGAGTTGCTGCTAGCAGTAGTAGTTAATGGCGGTGGCGTGATGGTTCGGTGGTACACACGGCGCGGATGATTGATGGGTGGGCCGCGGGAAGTAACGCAACCATCTTCCCTCCTTCCTTCCTTGCCCTCATTCTCTTTTTTCCCTCGCTGAAAATTACTACATCAAACTCTTTTTCCCTTACTGCAGCAGCGTTTAATATTTCCCCTCGCCGTACGTCTCCAGCCATGTGCCCTTTGTATTGGCCTCGCAGAAACTAGTAAAGAAAAGAATGATAGGAAAGGGGCCGGCTAGCAAAGCTAGCTACTCGGCGCCACACCGACAGACGGACATTGGTCGTGTGCGGTGACCGGCCGGCGTTGTCGCTTGTCGGTCCATCATCCCCATTACCGGCAGTCCAGCACGGCACGTAGCGCTACTAGGGCTAGTTGTACCACGGCTGCCGCTCGGGTCACGAACGGCGTTGTCGCTTCCCCGTCTCCGCGCGCTGGTGATGCCTATCATATGCTGCACTGCCGGCGTCGTGGACTGTACCGCGGGAGGTATCGATCTTCTTATTTGTTGGAGAGGGTTTGGGAAAAATGGAAGTGGCAATTGGCAAGGGTGGAAAGTGGTACAGCTTAATTTGGAGCAGTGCAAGATGATGACGCGGCGAGCTGTAGACAGGAGCGAGTTGTCCATCGCTGCCTCGCCCGCGCGGCTTCGTCAGGTCAGAGAGGGAGAGGGAGGGAGGATGTTTTGGCAACAGTCGGTGAAGTTGTGGAAAGAGATGGAAACTTGTCGGCGAAGCTTATCTGCTACCAGAACTGTGCAGGAGATTAACTTTTAGTGATTTCCGCTTCTTAAAAGCATTGAGATTTTAGCCTTTTATTCACAATGAAGCTTGTACCACAACCTTTCGCTCTAAATGGGGCTACCTATCAAAGATCCCATGCACGCATTTTCTTTATATTGCAAGATACTAATGATAGAAGTTCCCTTAAAAAGCCGTTGCCAACGATTTTGTGGCACGGTAGCCTCATCGCACAAGAATCCTGTGAGGCAACTAGGCAACCGCCACTCTCAAAATCTCAAATAATGTCATAGGCTAGGCTGGTGATAGGTTTCATTGATGAAACTAGTTGCGTCCACGAACGCGTTCGCAGACACAGATATAGGAGTCGGTCATGCAATACTATCCATCAAACATCCACCCTTGTTTTCTTTTCTTTTTTAAAGTCCGCAGCACTTCAAAATAACCATAGATGAGCATAATTCTTTGATCAGTGAAAAAATTCAAATGTAATGCTAGTTTAAATTTAAATATTACAATTCAAACATTACATTTTCAAATAAAGTAGTCAAACTTGAATTCAACTTATGTTCTATTTGTTCCCTTTAACCACCCATAGTTGAAGATGGATATGCCTCTCGTGTCTAGAACAACGTTGTCGTTCTTCCCCGTCTCTACGTGCTCTAGTGATGCATATGATATACCGCAGTGCCGGCGTCCTGGACTATACCGCAGGAAGGATCCATCTTTCTTATCTTGTTAGGGAGGGTTTGAGAAAAACGAAAATGGCCACAAAGGTGGAAAATGGTGGCTTAATTTGGCGCAATGGAAGATGACGAGGCGACAAGTGTTAGACGGAACATAAGTTGTCCATCGCTGCCGCGCTCGTGTGGTTTCGTCACAGAGAAAGGGATTTCTGGCAACAGTCGGTGAAGTTGTGGAAAGACACGGAAGGTGAAGTTGTGGAAAAACATGAAAACTACTTTTGAAAGCTTTTTAGAGTGCTGATTTTGTTATTTTTGCCCAGACCTTCACAAATGTGATTTCATCACGAAATTTTGCACAAAGGTAGAAAACTAAGAAATGTTTTTTGAAAAAATCCAGAGTATTTTGAATTTGTTTTTCCAATTTTTCGGACTGTATGGTTCACGGCAGAAGCATCTGAGATCAAAATTAGAGAACACTTTTGAAGACAAATATATCACATGTCGAAGTTAAACCTGGGCAAACAAACTGAAGAAAAGCAACCTGACAATTGCTCGGCCCGGCACAATCAAAACCTCAGCAATTTATTGATCAGTGGCCCATCATGTTTATCTCTGTCGGTCACACTGTGACTCACCACAGCCAGCGTCTGGAATTGGCACGGGCAGAACAGGCCCCGCTTTGTCAAAGGAAAGAAACTGAAATTAGCAACGCAGAGTCTTGAGCCTAACCCACTACGTACGGACTCCAGGATCGGACGGCACTCCGCTCCGGCTCCGCTACGGCTCCGCTACTACTTTCCACGGAGCAGGTGCTGCAGCAAAAGATGCCGCGTCACCTGTAGCTGTAGGATAATTCCGTGGTGAATCTGCCCGTAAGTCTTCCAAAAGTCTAGCAAAGGTGTGTGTGTGTCGCCGCAGCTCGAGTCAGTCGCAGTTGGTGCTAATAGCTCGCACAGAAAGACAAAGCAATCTGTTCATCAAAACGAAAAAGAGATAAAGCCCCCAGCATCTCTCGAGACATTTCCACTCCATTAATTTGCCACCTCAAATCTCAACCCATATCCAGGGCGAGGAACGCGAACGGAACGGAACAGGTGAACCAGAATGGACCCCGGGCCTGCGCTGCGGGCGCGGCGTCACTGTTGGCTCTCTCTCCCCGTGCGTCGCAGCAGATACGAGAGGTCGTTGCGGCGTCGATCTCCGGCCCTCCGCAGCTCCGACGTGGGCGTCATCCCGATGTACCATCCTTCGTCCCTTGCGGCGCCCGCTTAAGTGCCTGCACGGCGGCGCCCGCGCATGTGAACAAGGAACGGGAGGCCTCTCTATTCGGCTCATTGTCCGTTGCGTTGCAACGGGTTTGGGCTTTGGAGCGACGTGCACACAAGCCGGCGCACGCCGACGGCGACGATGATGGGGACGTGTGCACCGCAACGCAGTGGACGAAAAGCGAGGATGATCGCGTTGAAGCGGCCACTACTAGCGAGTAGTACGATTTGGACGTCGTTGGATCTTGCTCTTGGTCGCCTTCCTTTTCTTTCTCTGCAGATGCTTCGCCATTTGTTTAACCTCATCACCCTGGTGGTGGTGGTGGTGGTGGTACGAGCTTTTGTGCGTGGAAGCTGTGGCAAGCGCGCCATGTCATGTGTCATATCCGCAGTTAATCATGGAGGGTCTCGCGTGGAAGACTTGGCAAAATTACATGGAAAGATATTGTAGCAAGAATAGATAGACAGAGTTTCCATTACTAGTTGATGCTGACACACATCACGAATGTTTTCAAGATCACCAGTCCAAGCCGGCACCGACGTAGCAGGCAGAGTGGGCACTGATGTGGTAGAAACAAAGCGCGCCGCTGCCGTGACGGAGAGGAGATGGCAGCGGCTCATCTCATGGCGACACGCCACGGCACGTTTCATTTCCGGCGACGTTGCTTGAGGAGCTGCACCGACCGGGACGGAGTGAGTGCGCGAATAGATAGATAATACTCCAGCAGCAGCAGATGCCGAACGCACGACAAAACACCCGGTCTGATCGGTTCGTGTGATGATGGACTGGACTGACGGTGCGTGACTCCGACCGTGCGTCGAGGCTCAACTGCACCGCACTGCACTGAAAAACATGTCTGAAACGCAGCGCCGAAAGATTGATTCCTTACCATGGCCAAGGATAGGATCGGAGAGAGGTCAAGGATGAGAAGGCGGGGCCGAATCATTGAAGGCGACAGCCTAGCCTTGGTCAGATCATGGCCATGTACAGTAGTAGTAGCACGAGGAGGAATCGGCACGGCGGCATCTGATGCAAAAGTGGGAGCAAAGATGACTAGATGAGATCTGACGTCGTGTCTCTCTCTGCACGTGCGTGTACTTTGCCTCTTCGTCTGCCAAATACCGGTGCATAGATAGGCATGGGGTGCACATAAACCTCTTCAGATGTACCACTACTGTACGAGCGTAATAGCATCACGCAAAGCACGCGCAAAAGGTTAGATTTTTTTTCAAAAGGGGGGCTCCCCGGCCTCTGCATCAGAAAGATGCATGCGGCCATCTTATTAACCAAACATCAAAAAGTGCCAACAAGGTTTCGTAGTCTCCAGCGAAAGAAAAAAGAAAAAGATAAATGCAGCTCACACAGAGCGACATAACGCTAGACACAAACTAGCCAGGAAAAGGTGCCACAACCGGCTGGCTAAAAATAGATAGGGAAATTAATTGACTATCCTATTACATGACCGCCATCCAAACCGATTGAAGATATCCCGAGCTACCATCTCCCAACGGATAGATCCAGTAATCAAATGCTCCCTGGCCTCCATCGGAGTGAGTAGCGACCACGAACGGAGCAGTGCCGTAGCTCGGAAAATAACCTGCAAGAAATGAAACCGTGATGGTCTGTTAAAAACCAAATCATTTCTGCAATTCCAGATA